AGGGAGACGGGGGAGTGGGAAGGAGGAGGGAGAGAGAGCGATTATTATAGGGTGAAGGGGGGAGGAGGGAAAGGGGGAGGGTGAGAGGTGTTTATAGGGTGACGGGAGGGGGGGAGAGGGAGAGGGGAGAGGTGGGAGGGTGATGGACACAGAGATGGAGAAGAAGATGGAGAAGGAGATGGAGAAGGAGAAAGAAGGGAGGTTAAGAGGTGACGGAAGGGGGGGGGGAATGGGTGGGAAGGAGGTAAAAGAAGGATGAGAGTTATTAACTGAGGATTAGGAACAATCGGTGATGAAGAGGAGAGAGAGAGAGAGAGAGAGAGAGAGAGAGAGAGAGAGAGAGAGAGAGAGAGAGAGAGAGAGAGAGAGAGAGAGAGAGAGAGAGAGAGAGAGAGAAAAGGAAAGAAAGAGAGAGAGAGAGAGAGAGAGAGAGAGAGAGAGAGAGAGAGAGAGAGAGAGAGAGAGAGAGAGAGAGAGAGAGAGAGAGAGAGAAAGAAAGAAAGAAAGAAGGATCTGGGGTTGTATTGGGGTTGAAACGACCGGTCCGGGGGAGGCAGGGGGAGGGTGGGTAAATAGGGAGGGAGAGAGGATGGAGGGGAAGTGGGAGGGAGGGGGATAATGAGGAACAAAGACAGAGGCGGACTGGGGGCGAGGAATATGCACAGGAAATGAGAGGTGATGCGCAGTCATGTAACCGTCGGCTGGGACAAGAGGGAGAGGGCGAGAGGAGGGAGGAAGAGGACGAAGAGGGAATGGGAGAAGGGAGGAGACGAATGGGTGGGAAGGGGAGGAGGGAGAAGAAGAGTGAATGGAAGAGTGAGAGGAAGGAGAAAGCGGATGAATGAAGGGAATGGGAAGAGGGAGAAAGGGAAGGAAGAAGGAGAATAAAGGAAGAGTGAGAAGGAGAAAACGAAAAAGGAAGCAAGGAGGGCGATGATGGTTAAAAGTAGACGGGAGAGGGGGAGAAGCGAGAAGAGTTAGGCGAAGAGGGAGAGAGCGAGAGAGAATGAATGGAGTGCGAGAGAGGGAAAAGAGAGAAAAATGGGTCTTGAGCAAACAGTAACCGAGGAGCAGACAAAGAGCAAGAGCCGCCTGTGGAAAAGCAACACCTGTGATACCGCTTATCGTATCGACCTGATATCGGAGCTCCGCCGGCCGTTGGCAACACGAATTGGTATCAGTGTTCTTGACGAGTCAGGGATTTTCTAAGAATATTTTTGGAAGGCAAATAAAAAAGATATGCGGGGGAAAAAAATCGATCCAGTGGGTAAATGTACCGTGAATTTTATCCCGTCACGCTTTTTTTTTTGGGGGGGGGTGGGGGGGGGGTGGGGGGGGGGGGTAATTAGAGTGACAAACGCGAGGTCAGCAATTATAGTAAATTTAGTGTTCAGAAACTGGCGTTTTTGTTGCTTCCTCCCCTCCACACCTTTATATCTGTCTGTCTATATCTATCTATTTATATATCTGTCTCTCAATTTGCCTATCTGTCAGTTTGTTCATCTATCTAGCTATTTATCTATCAGTCTATCTATATCTCTATCTTCCTTTTTATCTGTTGATATCTCTCTCTCTCTCTCTCTCTCTCTCTCTCTCTCTCTCTCTCTCTCTCTCTCTCTCTCTCTCTCTCTCCTTCTCTCTCTCTCTCTTCACACTCTCTCTCCCTCTCTCTCTCTCTCTCTCTCTCTCTCTCTCTCTCTCTCTCTCTCTCTCTCTCTCTCTCTCTCTCTCTCTCTCCTCTCTCTCCTCTCACCACTCTCCTCTCACTCTCTCTCTCTCTCTCTCTCTCTCTCTCTCTCTCTCTCTCTCTCTCTCTCTCTCTCTCTCTCTCTCTCTCTCTCTCTCTCTCTCTCTCTGGATAAAATAAATGATATACACTGCATTTACGAATGTTCATTTTGAGCGTGGCTTTGGTCGCATCGGGCCCGCGGCGGCAGCAACAGCAGGCGGCGGCGCACGTGGGTGTGGGTTGTTTTGCGTGCACTAAACCAAAGCATTCTTCGCTCTCCTCGGTGCATGCTACGTGAATAGCCGCGCGCATAAATCATACTTATGCACACACGCGAAGGGTCATGCGCTCGGAGGAATGTGCGGCTCAGGGTCCATGCAGAGCGGGGCGGCGGGGCAGGAGTAGCACAGGGTATCAATCCGCTGTGGTGCGTGGGCGCGAAGGGCAGACAATATGGGCGTCAGGCAGGGGTACGGCTGACCTTTCTGTCGCTGGGGGGGGGGGGGTAGGCGCAGTTGACCTCATCTTCAAATCAGAAGGTTTCATAATATTAAAGGGTGGTTCATCTTTTTTTTTTTTTCATTTCGTAAGGTTGTCCGTCTCTCTTGAATTTTTGAGAATTATTCATCCATCTGTTGAGTTCTTGATGTTTTCGATTCTTCTTCTTCTTCTTCTTCTTTTTCTTCTTCTTTGTTTTTGTTTTTGTTTGGTTTGGTTTGTTAAATTATCCACGACGCCCCTTTTTAACAGGTGACCCTTGAATCCTTTCAG